TAGTCAAACCTCATACCCCTAAAACAATTATTTTTGAACATAAAATTTTAACATCAGGTGAAAATATTTCCTTGTTTTAGATTCCTGTAAATTTTAAAGTATAAAATGTTCGACTACATACACTCTTAGCCCTTCCCTACTTGTTTCGAATACTATTACTTTACCAAGCGTATGTTTTTTTCAAATTTGGCTATCTGTCAAATACGTTGAACACTTTTCAACCGCAATCGCATTAGCGAAACTCATCAATTCTTAACTACATTTGCGGCATCCGGTCAAATTGCTCATCTTTTGAACACTACTTGACGTGACCGAGTTCATCGATAAAGCGTTTTGCTAAATATATTAAAGCAAAAAATATTTAATTTTAACAAATAATTACTATTATTTATCCATTAGCAAAAAAAAAAAAAAACAAATTTATTTTTGAAACACACAATTTTTGATAGTACACTTCTTCTTTATTTCGCTAAATATCGATATCGTCTTTCAAACTTCCTATATTCCGATGTCGTCAAGTTTAATGATGTTATTGAAAAATATATCATCCGATCAGGAAATATAAAAACCACTCGGATGACTCCGATCGATTGGACTCCAGAGTGAAATTAGGTCATCCAAAATAATGTTCTGGTATTTTTGCTGTTTTCTATGCACGTTTTTTTTCAATATTTATCGAATACGAAATTTTCAGCCTGGTAAAATTATGTAATTCTATAATTGGGACAGCCTTTAACGGAAACATTTATAGTGTAAATTGGGTGAAATCAGGTTATAATTACGCCTACCTCCCCATATACGGTCATGTTGAAAACCGTTCGAAGTACGAATACTACGTCAGAAGTATTAATTTCTATAAGTGAAAATTGGACAATGGGTGTCGCAACGCTCATCTTTAGAAGTAATTCTACAAGTATAGCTTCTTAGGAACCATTCGACTAATTTCAATAAAATTTGGCTCAAAGCTTTATCCCAATATTCTGAAGTTACATTGCGGAAATATTCGAAAAGGACTACAATTTAACTCCGTTCCCAGGACAGTCGGGTCTACGAAAACCGGAACGGACCCGGATTTTTATCCGGCCAAGGACTGTCAATTCGGCAGAATTTCTGCCGTTACAACAACAAAAATTTAAAATTCGGTAGGAATATTTCGCTTTACAGTAATAAATTAAGTCCAATGAAAATATCGGGATATCACGATTGAAAATTCTCGAGATCGGCCTGCACCTTTTCAAGCTCCCTTATATCGAACATTTTATCCCTAGCGCCTATGCCTGTACCGAAAATATTGGTAAATTTCAATTCCGGATATGGATAAAGTCGGCGAAAAACATTACTCTGACCACAGCATGTTACGTTGTAAAAATGAATGAATTGGACGCCTATTTCGCAGATATCACAATTTTAAATATCATTTGATTCCTCCACTTTACAGTATAGAAATAAAGTATCAAAGAACACATCGAAGTGAGTGAAGAACATAACAGCTCTAAATAGTATACTTTATACATATATACATATGTATCAACAATAAAATTAAGCGGGAATAATTTTCAACCAATAAAATAAATATAAATATCAGCATTCTTAAGAGTTGTACCTTAACAATTTGCGTCATTATCGTCCATTAGTTAGTCTAAACTGAAGATAGCTGAGTGATGAGAAGGATAATATTTGAAACTTATAATTATGTTGCCGTCATATATGGCAGCAGCAACTGCAATCTGTACAACACTGCTTCTTTATCGATTCACACGTTCACAATAAATTTCAATTTGCTGCCAAGTTGTCAGCCCTGAGCGATCGCAATGGGCTATAGACGCTTTGAGCGCAAATATTCGGGCTGTGGTGCCCAAATGCAGCCGCTAATTGCTTCAGATTTATGTTGTTGCTGTTTCTGAAAGTGCTTAGTAGAATTCATATAAGAGTGCATATACCCGTACCCTCCTCACCAGTCAAGCCATGAGTTCATTGGGGCGGCAATGATGCGCTTTTCTAATTCAAAATTATTGTTGGATAGCAGACGTGGTAATGGCGGTGATGTTCTTTGGTTTTTGGCAGCGAGCTGACGATGGCGATTAACCAGGCGACAAAACTTGCCGCGTCTGCAACGTTTGCCAAGTGGCAAATTGTGATCATAAGTGATGAACGGTAAAGTTTAAAAATTATTAAATGCCAGCTGCGATGCACACTTGTTTTTCAGTATGTCAACTACACTTGTCCCTTCGCTCATACTTGCACATTAACATAAACAATCCGTAACTGACAATTGTGTATCATGCAAAGAAGCGCAACAATTATTGTAGTGTATTTAATGAACAGTTAGTATTACTACATACCAATCTATATACGAGTGTGCATTTATCTACATTAGTCAGTTATTTAAATAAATTAACGTAATTACTTTGCAAATCCTAATAAATTTCTGTCGTTTTCAAAAAGTATTATAGTAACTATAAAGGTAATTTAATGGGTTCTAATTTCCAAAGATATGCATAGGGCTGCCCGCTGACGCTTAAAGCCGAGGCGATATAACAACAGTAGGCCGGATAAAATCAGTGTCGATTCCATTAACTTAACTGTTACAGGATACAAAAATCATTATAATGATTATAAGAGGGCTAAGAAAGGGCTTAAGCCGATATCCCTCAGTATTACCAAATTACACTATCCCCAACATAACATGGTCACTAGGGTGCTTCAAAAATTTTTTTGGAGTTGTTTTCTTCAGCTCTTACCCCCTCAAATGTTAGTGATTGACAAACAAAAAATATACTTCATTCGCTAGATGTCGCAGAAGGTTGCAAAAATACCTGTTTTTCGATTGCGCGCATCTGGTGGGGGTAGGCGGTAGGTTGATGGTTTTCCAGAATTACTTAACAAATGTTAAGCTTGTCGCTTCATGTATGTCGACAAGCAGGTTCAACAAATATAATAAACAAAAAATAATTCAACGCGCTCGTGATGTGCTTAGGTAATGAGTAGCTTACACCAATGGAAATCGAAAACGCCAATTGAAAATTTAACGATTGGAAATACTCTTTCGAATTTGAATTTCTGTGAAACTTTGCAGGGTACGCTTATAATATTCGTAATTGACTCCAAGGTGGCGTTGGAATTATGTTTCGATTAGTTTGTTGTTGCAGAGTTACTAGGCCAACACAAAGTGTTGTAATTCGCAATCAAAAGTGATTTAATCAATTGAGTTTCGCTGTGCGTTCAAAAGCTTTAAACATTACCGATATAGAGATTTCATACATACATGTGTACATACATACATGGTTCGGCTGCTACGAATGTAGGTTACACCTACATGTTTGGCAAACTAGGCTATCAGTGTTATTATTTCATTTATAATTAAAGTGACAAAAATGCTAAATTATGTAATATTATGCCACAAACTGAAAGTTATATTCAATTCAACAAGATAGACTATTTATATTTACATTATTGCTTGTGTTGTCTTAGACCTCAACTAATGCTAATGTCCAATGTAAATATTAGTTCATAATTTTTCAATTGCATCTGTATAACTTATTGACATTTCTGCCAGGAGACGGTACGAACGATTGCGACTGAAGTATAACCTCACCAGTCGCAATCGTTCGTACCGTTAATAGAAATATATTAGTTTAATTGTAATAAGATGTATATATATTGGAGGGACAAATACTGCTTACTGATCCTAACTTGGTTATATCACCGATATAACAACAGTTGGCCGGATAAAATCCGTGTCGATTCCATTAACGTAACTGTTATGGGAATAGGTCTACCTCTGTAATCACCATATAGGTAAAGTACTATTCAGGATACAAATATCGTTATAATGATTATAAGAGCGCTAAGAAAGGGCTTAAGCCGATCTCCCTCAGTATCACCAAATTACACTATCCCCAACATAACATCTCCACGAGGGTGCTTAAAAAATTTTGTTTGAGTTTTTTTTCAACTCTTACCACCTCAAATATTAGTGATTGACAAACAATAAATCCTCCCTCAAGTCAGACGCTGTAGCTTAACTCTAAAGGGTTACATTTACATTTGACATAGAAGCTTTCGTTTTTTCATTCAATAAATAATTTCACCAACTAATTTTCGTTTCTCAAAAAGTTTAAAAGACAAAGTTTAATTATCTCAATTAGGCGATTAAACATAGTGATTTGAAATTTGGAATTTTTTCAATAAAAATAAAAAAAAGTTTCTGAGAATAATAATTGTTGTCGCTGGAATTTTTATAGTTTGAAAAACCAACTTTATGGATATGTGATGGTTATTTTTGAGAAATAAAAATTAGTTGGTGTTTGGTAGGTGAAAGAATTTAAAATTGTGTATTAGTGGATGTACGCCTAGTTTCGCCCATTTTCGTACTGTGACATAGGAATATGAGAGCATACCATGTGGTGGACGGATTATTTATATATATATAACACTATATTTAACTCGCTTAGTTTTAGGTGATACAAACAACCTTTAAGTCAGGCTGTTAGAGCATAAAAACAAAACACCAAATTTATTATTTTTGTAAACATTTTCTATATAAAATCTAAAAAGTGAACGAAACTATAATCATAAAAATAGTGCAAGGTACTCAAAGAATTGTACATATTTCACTTATACATTACGTATTTATTAAAAAATGAGGCTCAGAAGGTTTACTCCCTATCCAAAAACAAAACGTGAAGGGGTGAAGTTACCCAGTCGCAACACATGTCAAACATATTTCTGTGGCACATGTGAGACAAATTGGTTTGTTTGCAAAGAAGCAAAGGTAATCAGTTTTAAATTCCACATTTGTATTAAAAAATGAGTCGTTTATTGGCTGAAATTAAACGTAATGTCGGGCTTATCAGAAATCAACGAGTTTGTGTCTCTGTCTAATCGTAAACGTTCATACACTGAAGCAGATTCGATGGATTTACTTATTTCGTTTCATTTTTGTCACTACGAAATTCAAATATTGTTTAACGAAACATTTTTTTGCTCTATTTTTACAGCATGTGGTGCAGGCCGGTGTTGCGCCATTTCCAGGCGCTCCTACCGGCTATCCATCAACCGGTGGGCAGGTAGCCGTTGCCAATCCTGACAATCTATCTATGGGAGTTGCGGCCATCAAAGCTGACCAGGTGTCACAAATGAAGACTGAGAGTGGAGCACAGATCTCAGGAGGTACAAATGCAGCCACGTCAACTTCTGGTGTGCAGCTTTACATGCAACAGAAGAAAGTAAGAGCAAAAACACATCCAAAAATACCTATTGCACAAGTGAGTGTTTCTGTATATGCGCTAAAAGTTTGCGTGGATGTGTTGTGTAGAATCGAAATCACACAGGGCTGATCTATAGTACGCCTGTAAATATGCTTCGAATCATTTTTATTTAAGATCTTTTTAAGATAATTTGCATGCCCGTTTAACCAACCCTATCGCAATATTTTCATATTTATTTTCACCTTGCACAGCTACAAATAAACATATGTACATATGTGTATTCGATTTTAAAAGCCAACAGTGTAGAATTAAACAAAAAATATTTAAAAATTCTGAACTTAAAAACCTGTATTCGAAACGTCTAAAACAAATGATTATACACATGTATATACGTGTATTATAAATAAATTTGTTATGCCCGTGACATTGTTATTCCGATAGTTACAGGAGCCCTCTTTAAGAATTACTAATATTTTTTATGTAAAAGCATAAAAATAATCTAATAAATTAGGGAAGCCTTTTACAAATATGTGATGAGTTACGTAAATGTGACGATTGTTCTAACGGAACTGACAAAGCTACTATTATTCCTTATAATAATCTGTTTAAGAAAATGCATGCATTACAATTTTTAAGTATTTTTGAGTTATTACTATTGTTATTTTGTGACTTATCATTCGTCTATTAGATTTCCTTTTTTCGCTCTGCCCTTAATTAATTTATTTTTATTCGCCAAAATCCATAAAAAAGTAGCGAAACAATAATATATTAAAATAAGTACACAAATAAGTAAAGTGCACAATCATAATATTTAAAGCCCACATATTAATGTCAAGAACCCATGATCTTTTACCAAAATAAATCCATTGATTATTTACTTACGTTGGAGTTTCGGCGACAAAGCAGCTGTTACAAGCACATATGTATATTTTTATGGAAATATTTACATACAAGGTCCGTTCCAAAGTAAACAGGACTTAAAAAAAAAACAGAAGAAATTTGTTTGTCAAAATCAATTTATTTTATTAAAAATATTCTCCTTCTGCTTCAATGTAGCTTTGTGCACAGTTCAAAAGCTTGTCGAAATGGGTGTTTTAGCTCTTTGGCCGGTATGGCCTTGAGTATGTGCTAGCCTTTTGAAAGGCCTCTTCGTCTGCATAACGCTTTCCTTCCATGGGAAAATGTATTTTTCCGAAAAGAAAGAAGTCGCACGGTGCCATACTAGGTGCATGCGGTGAGTGGTTAATGGTTAAAATGTGATTTTTGGTCAAATAATCATCCTTCGAATGTTGGATTCTGAGAAATTTTTGGTCGTCAGTCAATTTGTGCGGAACAAACCATGCGCACACCTTTCGTAAGACCAAATGTTCGGTCCAAATGCGATAAATAGATGATTTGGAGATGTTCAATGAAATTTCCATGAATTTCAATGATTTCGGCTGATTTTTGATGAATTCACGCACATGGAATTTCAGATAATCACGGCTATTGATTGGCCCACATATTGATCATCATTTATGTCCTTACGACCGCTTTGAAAACGTTGTAACCAAACCACTCGTGCAATCTGCTACGAGATAGGCAATCATCGCCATAAGCTTGTTTCATCAATTGAAATTTTTGGTAAAAGTTTTGTTAATTATACTCTCGCAACAAAGTTGCTAAAGAGAGTATTATAGTTTTGTTCACATAACGGTTGTTTGTAAGTCCTAAAACTAAAAGAGT